TTTCGACAAAAGAGTCACGTCGCTTTGCATTTCCCGCCTATCCTAAACTGTGTGAGGTATTGCACGTTCTGCAAAATAAACCGAAGAACCTTCAAGTCAAGTATGAACTTCACGTAAAAGTGAGCATCGTGAAGACCTGGAATAGTGTCGAGGAATTTGGGTTCATTAAAATCTTAGCCCTACTTATTTTTAAACAGGTAGTCCGTCTAGCACTTGATTGAAATTGACTGACTACGGTTCTTAGCTTGACTGTTCACTAAGTGGTCTGGTGCACTGGACGTTGGCACTAACTTATCTGCACCGACACTGCCGATTCGCAGCTGACATTTGTCTGCATCCGTTGTAGTAAACGGTGTGTACCGAGACCAGTGGGAGCTGGTTCGGCACTGTTTCGCATGGCATCGCGCATGCATGCTGCACCTGCCCAAACCACCACCCGGGTGTCTATGCTTTTGATCATGCGTGCAGCTGTTTCGTCGGTATTTACGCATTGTAAAGGCAGTTTCTTCGAAATGGACCAATTCACGACTAATTGGCGTGTTGAGGCTGTGGAAAATGATGCAAAACTAATTCGGCACTGCGATTGTCGCATCCGATTGTCAGACTATCCGAGATAGCGACGAAATCGCCTGATCGAACAACATGGCTCCACTGCCTTCGAAGATTACCTAACATCGATTCTTTGTTTGATGGGAGGCTGTAATAATGTAAGGGACTTCTAAGTGGTATCACATCAAGCTCTGTAACGATCCGAGGGAGCGAAAGAATCGATTTAATGAAAGATCTAGGTCCATACACCTCACACACTGGTTAAAACGGTTTCTTTGATTCATGGAATACAAGATTATGGAAATACGTAGGGCTAGTTAATGCCTGTTTTGTTAAGAAATCCGGCATTCGTCGCAGCTTTAGTGGATCCCGACATGATCTAAACAATCATCCGTCTGTTTGCTTTAGCGACCTACGAGATAGATCAGCAACCATTCAGAGATTAAAATTGTTGAGAAGCACATATGCGAAAGGCGTCGCAGCCAGTATGGAGGACTTGGAAGGCCAGTGGTTGACAAACGGTTTTGGCTGTTTGAATGTCAGCCAAGCCAGTCTTACCGCACTTGTCTTCTCTAAAGTTACGGTCGGATATTCTGCAGTGTTGGTGGCGTGATTTGTGCCCATTTACGCTGCAATGCTTCTATCAGTAGAAATAGTGTAGCCGGACGCAGGAGACGTTAGTACGCACTAACGGTTCTGGTAAATTTTGGCATGCCTTTTATCATGCGATGTGCCATTTTGATGCAAATTGGCCTTGATTACCTGGCAGTTTTGGATAACTTGACATTCGTGAGTGCATGAAGGCCGACGCAAGCAATCTGCATGTCATTTTAGTGTAGTTCAATTCGAACACATTTAATGTGTTCGATTTTAGTCGAAATAGGTTCTGTGATTGCAGATTGCAACTCTCCCATTGACCACACAGGCACGTTGACGAAGAAATAATCCAAGACAGCATTATTTTTGCTATTTGCGGTTTTAAGGGGCGCACAGAGCAGTTAATTGGAAATTTTATGCTTCCTAATTCAATCCGGTTCCTCGATATCAGAATGTGTGCTTGGTAGAGCTTCAATAAACTCTTCGCCAATCAGAGGTCTCTCTTACTCTCCTCTTGGTAGAGAACGAAGTTAAGCATTCTAAATTCGGTATTTACGATGGACGAATACCGTCAGTGTGCACTTGTCCTGGGCATTACGGTTATAGAATCTCGATTTGAAACATTGGTAGTCGGCAAAACATCCACCGGCACGAGTGGCTTACTATCGTGATGTTCGTTTTCCGGAGAATAACAAATACTGCGATTAAGCACTAGAGTTGTTGTGCTCTATGTTTGATGTAAAACATATAGAGTCCCGTGTGCACATATCTACAGGTTGTAGACAGCTACGCCGCGACAACTGTTTTCTGACAGCACCATCTTGTCTCTACCGTCGTCTGCTCGGTGTGGTGGCGGCGTGTGCGGCGATTGTTTATGCAAATCACACGACGACTGTGTCCGGAGTGGTTTGGGGCTACTTTAAAAAAAAACCACTTTATTCCTCCAGCCATATGGTGATAATCTCGATGCTAGGTGAACAATTTGGCATTAGAGCGTAGTGCTAAATAGCTGAAAGCAAATTCGATAATTTAAATTTACGGCATCAATGATTCGGATGACTGCAATAGTTTGTTGTGAATCGCGTTTATTCACACCCATTAATTCGGTTGCTCCACCTCCGACAAAGGGTTCCTCTTTTCGCAGCATGTCGCCAGCCGCGCGGATCCTCAAATTTCACCTCAGTCGCACGAATACTTATCTTGGATTTTCCTCACACCTAGGTATTGATGTTAGTGCATGTATGACTCACACATCTGAGGTATAAATACACTCGCGCGAACCCCACACACGACACAAACGTAGTTGAGCTCTGAAGTAAACGGTTGTGTCCACGTCCTCTACGGTCTTTTTCTTCATTGCGAGTTTCAGCGAAACGTAATCAATCAGGCCAGGGTTAATTCCGTGGCCCCGGCGTGGTCCAAGACCACATGCTGGGGCCCACAACGGGTTTATCAAAATTTACTGCGCAAATTTTCTAAATTTGCCAGCGTTGAAGGCATATAATTTGGGCTGAAACCGGTGAAAACGCTTTTGCTCTGTTCCCGAATGAGTAGGTTATCGGCTTGTTTAATTCCCGTGTGGACTTTCGCGGGCGAAGTAACTTGCTCCGTTTGCAGTCTCTTCACATCTTTGAAAATGCGCATTAAGGCACATCACCATTAGTGCATCGTTAAATGACTAGATTTTGCGAGCATACTCAAGACAACACACGTTGCAGGCACAATGAAGAACGACTTCTTTGAAGAAGTAGGTCAGATCATGGTAAAAGGCACCGCCTAATTTTTAAGTTTCTTCCACATTATTCCAAATGGACGACGCATCTTCCCACGAAGTCATCATAAATCATTTCACGTTTAGAATGTGCCAAGTGTTTGGCAATTTACTATTTACCCATTCTACAATCTGTTTTCCACGACACAATTGCCAACACAGGTTCAGGCACTAAATCAAGCCCGCATCTCTACCTTCATGCCAAATTGGGAATCTACAACTTTGGCGCACCACTGTGCTTGATTCCTTCCACTACCTGCTGAGGTAGTGCGCCATGGCTTACACTCTGCACCGATGTTATCTGATTAGTTGACTTTGGACGCAGTGATGCTTCGACAACTAACACCCGTCGCCGTTAGTATCGGGTCACACGGCTTCGATGATAAATGAATCGACTAATGAGTGAACAAAGGCATCCGAGAGCATGCGGGCGCGTTTTGAAAACGTCTCCCAGATGGATACGGCACCCAGTGATCCAAACCGCACATTCTATGTTTGCCAATCAACTGCGTTAAAAATTCTTCAATACCGAGTGGGATGCAAACCCGTACCTTTTAACCGAATCAACCTGTGGCACACCACTCAGTTGAATCCACCTCACCTTGGTTTAACACCCAGAAGGTGACACTGATCTGTTCTATTAAAATTTAATATTTAGACACTCGCGCATAACTGCAATCTTCGGGCATACGCGAAACACGGAAGCAACAGAATGGCCTCAACTACCAGGGCGCATGCAACACCTGAACGTGGACGCTCGCAAAAGGCGGCTCCACGCCTGTTCTTCCACAACCGCCGGCATACTGACGGGACGCTCCAACGAACCGTTGTCCGGCTGAACACCCGAACTGGTGAAAGTGCCAGACCTACTTAATCATCAATAAATTATCGATTTTTGTATCCACACAAGCGATTGCAAATGCTGACAGCAAATCAGGAGAAACCGTCGCAGATGAATGTTCGATCGTGCTGCGAGTTCAATGTAACACACAGCAAACGGTACTGAGGTGTACAAAGACCACACTTCCTTGATTGATTAAATTCAGTAGGGTGAAAGGCTGTTCGAAAACAACGGAATCCATATCCGTCTGCTCATTTAAATCAAATACGTCAAAAGGAGGCTTGCTACCGCGCATACTTGTGCCAACGACGTGGAAGAAACTTACTTGTACGGGAGCAGTCCCGAGCGAAGCTTCTCCCATACTCAAACTTCTCAAGAACACAAAGGCATAGGAAAAATTCAACTTTATTACGAGAATCATTCAGACGACGAAGAGACGACACACACTTAGCCATCTCCTCTCCAAGTAGCCGTAGCGCCGTTGCAACCACTCGACTTGAACGAACTCGAGGCCATGTAGTCCTTGATGTTCGGCAAACTCTGTGTTCAAAAAAACAACTCTGTAAATAGGCTAGACAGGAATGATAGGCAAAGTGCGTAGAATGCTCACCAACCCGTGCATTTAACACATCCTCGAAACATCACGGTATTTGGGGCAGATGGGCAAATAATTTAGACAGACCAGAAATAGTTCCAGTCAAGCACCCTCAGCCAACGCCGAACGAACTATTCCAGCACGCAATGCACCACCACAGTCATCTATGAGATCCACCTCACGCCAGCCCTAACCCTGGGCAGGAAGCCTTTTTTCAACAGACAGAAATCTTCACTTAAAACATTTGTACACTTAGTGATCGCGTTCAGCTCATTTGATTTGTATGGTGCCTGACATATCCCACCAATTTGAAAAGTTTGCCCTGTCCACAAGCACTGAGATGATGTATTCGCTCAGCGAACCTGATCTACAGTCGCCTGAAAACGACCCTCCCAACACCATTCGTGTCCTTCTCATTTCCAATCAAACCCTTTAAATGGCATTGCCTTCCTTACAGTAGAAATGAAAAAAAAAACTCAAAGTATTTACCTCGAAGCGGTTAAGGTAGGCCTTCAGCTTCGGGTGGTTGTCCAGACAGGCAGGCTCGAACTTGATCAGTTGGTTCAAAAATTCACAGAGACTAAAATCTGGGTAGTTAATCTGCAAAACATCAAGCAGCATCAACAATAATTATCATCAGCTCAGGTTACACTGCGACTGCAGGTGAGAAGCAATGTCGCCACCTTTCTAGGGCAATTCAGTGCATCAACTGAATTCGATTGCAAAAATTTTCGCTCATTTACAGCTACTGTCATTAACTCATGGCCTATATTCAAAATGAACCCGGTCAATCGGGCGAGTGGACTTTCATCCTATTGGTTTCTAAGCAGACACGCCTACCACGAGTCCCATTTTGAAGATCGGGAGGGCAAAGGCTGCTAACCTCATGTGTTAGCACTGCACGCATATTTCTAATGCACTTTTTAATGTCATTTAGCAAATTAATACAATTTCACCTTACCTCGTCTCCCGTAAGCCACTGATTTTCACCCAGGTATTTCTCGAATTCATCCAGCTTCCGAGAAGCTCTCTCTAGGAAACCGGGTTTCAGTTTTTCCTAAAAGAAGGCCTGTTGATGATTTTTTAAATAACACGTTTCCTTTGTGAAATTGGAGTCATGGAATGTTGTAGACTTCAACTGCGCAAGTGGACTAAACTATAGGGGCGATCTCTATCCAATTTCACGAAATTATGCTTTGTGGCCAAGGAGTTGCTGATTTTGAGCCTACACTGACGGCATCACATGTTCGGAACATGAAATACAATAAATATCAAATGCGACCAAATCCTTTTGGTTTTTAATCTTGAAAATATAATCACATTTATAAGACGTTCAGATTAAAACACAACGACGACACTTACAAAATCGGGGCTGTAGCACACCACACCAAAGTCCATTAGAAAATCATACACTTCATTATGAAGCATATGTAAGGCTGCACGCCGTGCAGGGCAAGCCGGAACTACAAAGCAGACGTGAATACGCTCTTAAATTAAGCCATTTCCACCAACTTTGGATGCCAATATCTACTTCTCAACGTAGAACAACTCCAAGACCACAACCCCTATTACCCATCTAATTTCGATACCAGTTCAACCATTCAATAATTTGCTCCTGAATTTATAGTAATATTAGCATCTGCATCGAATCACAGCCTACTCTGGTGGCGTTGCATTATTCAAAGTGCCTAGGGTAAAAAACTCCATTGTCTCCTACTGCGAACTACAACACATAACCTAACGACTCCGTGTTAAGTTAAAATGAAGTTGACACTACCAGCCAGTGAATAGTACAGAGACGAATTTATTAGAAATAAGGCAGTGCAAGGCAACTTACTCATTCCATGTTTGTCAGCAATGTACTCGAGGATAGCGCTGGATTGGGTCAATTTAAAGTCCCCATCAATCAAATACGGTAGCTTCACAAACAATATCCTTTAAAATAGGAATCCTACATTAGGGAAATCCAATCCTAGGGAATACTTCACTGAAAGCCATTCGCGTGGATCAAATGCAGGGGCTAAACAAATGAGGTCTACAGTATAACGAGTTTACCAGGACCCCATTTGTACCTCTTCTCCTCAAAATCCTCTCCAAGATAACGCAGCAGAAGCCGAGATGATTCACAAATCTAAATTACACATAAACAAGCTCAATGAGGTAATTAACCTAAACTGCAACTCAAACATTCCTCAAGAATTTACTACTGGTGGAGGGAAGTGTGCATTCACTTTGATCCTCACTTGTAAAGACCTGTGCCTATCAAATAACTGTAGTACAGCACATATCCGATTAAATATGAATCCTTTCTATTATTTACAAAAAAATTCATCCCCATTCTCTAAGCAATGGAGAATGCACCCATTTAGCGTAGACTTCTACATGAAATTGTGAAATACCACAAAATACCCTGGGTTTAACAAACATATGGTTCACCATTAAATTACTGTGCCTTAACTTATTTAATGATATAGGAAAACGTAACTTACTCCTCTAATATCCCAGTATACCAAAACTGGTTTCATGGTACAATTAAAAAACACGAAAAGCTCCCTTTGTATTACCCGCCGTAATAGGCTGGTGTCCAATTTAGTTGTCATTGTGTCATTAACATGAACTAAGAAATTTTTTGGTAATTATATGATTATCTATTTGCAGACAGTTTGTGGTATTAAGCAACACTAGGACTATTTATTTTTGAGGACAATGCAGACTATATGTGTTAAATTATCCTACTTTCTGTTAACCATTTGAAAATATCAGCATACAATGTTTAGCTATGTGAATCAGTTGGAAATTTAGACCACAGATATCTGGGTGATTCAAGTAAGCTTAAATACTAAGAAAGAGAGACAAAACTGCAAGTGGAACATGGATCTGATTCACGATAATACCTGTGAATGTCTCCATTGCGATTTCAGTATCTTGTGTTTCGAAATGAAATGTATTAATTATTATCCGAAAATGCTATTAAGTTTATTGTAGAAGCCTTTTCTCCGTCCATCAAAGTGCTAATATTTTCAAAATATTGATTATAACGATAAACCACACACTGTTTGATTCCCAAATATATAAGGACTTGGAAAACAAGAATGAGGCAACATATGAAAAGTGTTTCCAACAATTCCAGGCGCAAATGCCGCTCTCTGTAAACCTCTCCTCTGGTCTTCATTTCAACGAATGCACACACAGTCCTGAGTCACTAATGATCACCCATTTATTGGAAATGTTTCCTCATATTAATGCTTTCCACGATTTTTCAAGAGTAGATAAATAAGATGGAGAGCATAGCAGCATCATTTTAACAAGCCTAAATTGTTAGAGCTTGTGTATTTAAACGCGTTGTCCGATGTATTTGCGTTGTAAATTGGTATAAACGTATAGACTGGGGACGCTTATTCACCCCACAATTTTGGCTAACAGCAGTCTGTGACTTAGTAACATGTGCCATATTGCTTTCGTTCATTGAACGCATGATCCAACAAAGGATTAGGTCTAACTAGAAGAGCTTATCCTGATTTCCACTCAAGCATTTCTTGAATTCTCACCGCTTTCAACATACGTTTTCCGGGGACTTGGATTTCAATTTCTAGCAAATCGAGGCTCACACATTATCACTCCATCAGCATATTTTAAAATGAACTTATGGACTTATGAAAATTTGTAGACTGTAACCAATGGAAAGAAGACAATTCTATAGGGTCGATCCCTACGCAAAATGAGGAAGTCACACTGACACGCGAGTTGTCCTAAACAACATCAACAAAAGTGATTGGGGTAAAAATTATTCAGTAAATGTATCCACATAATGGGGGTTAAAGTGATCTGTGGCAGGACTTCATTTGATTTGTTTTGAATACCTCAGAAATCCCGCAGATTTAGACTGATAAACAGTAGCATGTTCTCATAAATTCCACTGCAGCGTCTACCAGTTATAAAGAAAGACAGTAAAGAAGTGTCAATTTGACTTTGGTAAAATGTGTTTTACAAGTATGTCGACACAGATTGCGTGAAAACAACACTGGGTAATTTAAGTGCAACTAATTAAGGAGAAATAAGAGAGCGATGGTGACCTCTTAAAAACTAAGCTGTTTATCGTGGAACAACATTCACCTCTGACGATCAGTTTTAAAGAATTTGCAATAAAGTACACCCATCATTTTCCACCAGGAACACAAGAGAATATTCCTCAAGTTGTGTCGGTGTCGACGAACCGGATTATCCGGAATCTACCCACGACTTTTGCCATTTGGATTCTCGTAATAAATATACAATTTGGCGCGTCCATTCCCACCGATCTTCACTATGTGCCTGTGTATCTTGCAAGGGCCTCGCGAACACCTTAGGCCCAGTGTGCATCACGCCTTGAGCAAATCCGAAGTTACAGAGACCCAGTGATCCATGCAGCCCTTCACTCAAGTTATTCAAAATGCCACTGTGACCTTGCATCTTCAGACTAAAGAATGTCCAACCTTGGGGTGCCACCGCATTAGCGCTTGCCAAAAAAGAAACGATTCAACGAAGAAACTGAGTCTTACAGTTTGAAACCACCTACCACACGTACGTCGCCACCACCTGCGTGACAGTAGCACTGAACAAAAGACATGGACGCCACTTGCAAGTAGTCAACTAACCACTAATTTTGCGAAGAAACGAAAACTGCGACAGTGATGGCGACCAATTAAAACACGGCTGTTATTACTATTATTATTATCATTATTATTCATCGTCAGACAGCACACAGAAATCGCAAGAATTCAGGCTCAGTTCTGCACATTGTACTGACTGTGAGGTCACACTGCTACAGTAAAAATGTTCTTATTTGAAGGAAAAACTACAGTTGCCTTAAATAGATTCCTATAATGCAATGCTACATCTCACCATTTTGGATTCAACTCAGAGTTCAGCAATTACGCGAAAGTGGTGAGCGCTTTCTTCATCCAACCGAGTGAATAACAAAGCGGCAGCACCAATGGGAGTGGCGCTATTCTTGTGCAAGTGTCGCATTATAATCGGGGTTGAATTGCACACTGGCACAAGTTAGCATCATAATCAGAGCACCCAGATCCGATCCATGCACTTGTTCATGTCCACGATGATGGATGTTCCGCTATTCACATCAAGTCTGGGTGCAAAAGAAGAACAGAATTGCATCTGCCTTGTTTAAAACCGCTAGGCTTAGTCGATGTGACCTCAGAAATACCCCCGTTAGGTTAGTCAGACTTAATTTCGGTTAGTGTTAAGGAAATTAGTTGGCGTAGTGTTGATCATGAGTCGTGATTGCAAGTGGGTCCGTAGATCATCTCGCTATTAATATTGTCCTGTCACGATATTTCAGTTGCGAAACTGGTAAATTCTCCTTCAAGGGCTGTCTTCTACCAGCATCGGAATCGGTCAACGATAAAAACTGGAACACTAATTAAAACAACCTAGGACCATCTTACAATGTTTGACGGCTTTTGATCGCCTACCAAATACACTAGAAAGTAATTTTACTGCACGAAAAACGTCAAGTTCCATTGTCAATTCAAGAGGGCTACACCAATGTGATATCCATTTCTTTTGAAGTTGAAAAGAACAGCTGAGGTGTGTACCTTCACAGACGGGGGTCGATTTGGAATTCAAGAGATGGCGGTTACCACTTGAATTGAAAGCTGCTTCTAAACATCAAAGGAATCCGTGCAAAGAAGCGAGACGTGGTGCGCTTCACCACCTCAGAGGCACATAGTCGGAAGCTTTTGAAAATCTTTCATGTTGTGCTGGCAATCGGCGATTGCAAATGGGCTACCTCGTGGTTCCAACTACAAAACGTGAACTTATAGATCCATGTCCTTTTCCTTGGAAGCATCCAAATCTGTGCGTGCCGCATAGATTCAAGTATAATGAGATAACTTGACAGTGCTGGGCTTGGTCAACTCACGTATTCAGACGAATAGGTCATTGGTGTAATTATAATGCGGAAAAAAGGAAAAAAACTTAGGCCAAAACTGCTAAGTCCCACGTGAGATGCGACACGACCGTTTGTATCTCTTCACACACAGCGAATAAAATCCGTGTTTCAAATATCTTTGGAGTGTTCAGGATGCTGCCTGCAGCACAATGCAGACCATCAGTGAAGTTGGCGGTTACTTGATGCCATATGGAAGCACAATGCAAGAATGATCGCGGTTTGGGCATTTGTAATAAGTCGCATGGTGCTTTATGC